AAAAACAAAAAAAATATCAAATAAAATAGTGATAGATTTAAAACTTAATACATTTGGAATAATAGTTTTAATAAGACGAATATGATTTTAAGTTGAGATTAAATCGAAAAAAGACTAAATTTTTGGAATCTTAAATATAGAATAATTAGAAAAATAATTGAAATTTTGAGAGCACTTTAATCAAAATAATAAGTGAAAAGCTTACTATTCTTGTTAATTATTTCTTATGTTTCCAATAAACGAATTTTAAATAAACATTACTTATAGACATGCATATAGAAGTATTTAATTGTTAAAAATAATTTTTGATCTCAAATTTATGTTTTAATTTTTCTCTTACATATAAATTTATATAACTCTTTTTAAGAGCATTAATGAATAGAAATAACTTTTTATTGAAAATTATAAAATCATATTGAAGTAAAATAAAATTTATTGGCTATTTTGTATTTTTGATAACATATGAATTAGAGCATAACTACTAAAAAAATAAAGTATATTTCAAAAGTAACAAAATAAAAAATTGGAATATGATTTTGTATAAATTAAAAGCTACAATTTAGTAAGGTTAATTAAATACTTTGAGGATAAAAATAGAGATTTTCATGAAGAATTAAAATACTAAATAATTTTCAATCATTCGAAGCTTATTCATTTAATATTTTCAGGAATTCAGTTTTTCAATTATTCTTTAATCTAGTTTTATTCATAAAGCAAATAATTATAATCTTTCTTTATGAAAATTATGAAAAATTCATGAAATTTAATAAATTGTAATTAATCTTTTTTATTGTCATTCGAATAGATCAAACAATTTAAATTATCATTATTTAAAAAAAGATTCTGATCTTTTGTTTTTAAATAGAGGAATGTATCAAAGAAATGTAAAATCACTTAGATGTAATTATATTATTCATTTATTTATAATTAGTCATCATTCAATAGAATTAATACTTTCATTGATTAGACTTTCAATGATATAGATTAATTATTTAATTAAACATAATAATAATAATAAAGAGATTCTTAATAAAATAATAGATTACCTTAATTATCATAATTAGATATCCAGAATTAATAATTTAATAATTAATTGATTCATTAAGTTACATCTTTAATCAAGATTTCTATTAACAATCAAGTGAAAAACAAAGAAGAATGTCTTAATTAATAATATAAAGATAAATTATTATAATCTCAGAATTTATAAATTTAATAACTTAAATAAACATAATAATCAATTATTAATCAACCATCTTCTTAATTAGTACTTAAACCTTTCACTTATTAATTAATATAGAATAATTCAATTAAATAAGATTAATTGTGTTATGCAATAGCTATTAATAAAGATTGTTCAATTGTAATAGCTGGATGTTATAATGAAATTAAAGTATTTGAATTCAAATAAGAAGTATTGAAACAAACTCAACTTCTAAATGAACATTAAAATACTGTAAATACTTTAAAGTTTATGAATAAATCTAATCACTTTATATCTGGAAGTGATGATAATTCAATCATAATATGGTTGATGAATCAAAACAATTAATGGATTAACTAATAGAAATTAAATGGACATAATAATTAAATATTATGTTTAATTTTGAATAATAATGAAGATTTGATCATTTCAGGTAGTTAAGATAAGACTATTAAATTTTGGATGAAGTAGAATCAATAATGGCTATGTTAATAAACTATCACAGATCATACTAGTAGTGTATATGGATTAAGTTTAAATTAACAATAGAATAAAGTGATTTCATGTGGATATGATGGATAAATATTAATAATAGAAAAATCATAATAGGATTCTAAATGGATTGTAATCTAAAAGATAAAGGTTGAAACACATGGTAAGAGAATATGCTTTATAAATGATAATGTATTCACATTTTAACCATTTGGGATAGAATAAATGCATGTTTATGAAATGAATAATACTAATAAATAGTATTTAAAGACAAAAGATATTCTTGTTAAAGGTGGTGGAAGTGATGTTTGTTTATTTCCTTAATAGTATATAAAATCAAAATGCCTGGTTGTAAATAAAAATGGAATGTATGTGAATTTGATAAGGACAAAGGAAAATGGAGAGTTTAAAACTGAATAATCCATTGAATTTGGAAATTATAATTTATTTGGATGTATGAGTGATGATGGGTAGTATTTAATAACTTGGGATTTGAGTTCAAAAGAAATTCAGATTAGAAAATACAATGAAATATGAATAACACATAAATATTAGATATAATTATTTATAATTATCGATTTAAACCTTTCAGTAGATTTAATAAAGGTATTGGAATATTATGTTAAAATAGGAAATCTCTTCTTTGATAAAGTGAATTTGAAAAATCGATGTTATTAATTGTGATTATTTATGAAATTTGTGTTTAATTTCTAAGAGTTGTGTTTTTTAAACTTTTCCAAATTTAATAAAAAAGTAAATTGAAAAATAGTAATTATTATTAAGATAAGAAGGTTAAATAGTAACAAAAGTGATTGAAAGAAAAAATTAGGCAAATTGTTAGGTGCATTTAGATTGACTCATTTAAATTTTCATCAATATATCCAAATTATAATTTGAAGAGAAATAGGTATCAATTAATTTAAAT